CGACCACTTTCTTGGCGCGGTGAGCCTTCACGGCATGGCAGCGCTCCAGCGGGACGATCCTGAGTTGCGTGCACTGATCGACCACTTGGAGGGACGAGGGGGTACGATTCCCCGAGCCTTCTCGCGTGACCTGCCAAGATTCGCCGTCCGGAGAGGTGTCCCCTTTAAAGAGAACTTCGGGGACAACAACTCGACGTGGCTTCTGGTTATTCCTGCTAGTCTTCGAGAAGAGATCTTTCAAGCCTGCCACGACGACCCAACACCTGGTCACCTTGGCTACGGTAGGACTCTTGCACGGATCCGAGAAAAAATACTACTAGCCCAAGCTCCCGAAGACTGTCCACCTCTACGTCCGTTCGTGCCACGAATGCCAACGACGCAAGAAACCACCGACGAAGCCGGCAGGTCTCCTGCAGCCGATTGCGCCCCCGACTGCACCATTCCAGCAGGTTGGAATGGATCTTCTCGGACCTTTCCCATCGTCGACGCAGGGAAACCGGTGGATAATCGTGGCAACTGATTATCTCACCAGGTACGCCGAGACAAAAGCACTCCCGTCGGGTACCGCCGTGGAAGTAGCCAAGTTCTTCGTGGAGTCCATCGTCCTCCGACACGGCGCTTCCTAAGCCCTGATTACGGACCGAGGATCCTCGTTCATGGCGCAACTGACACAAGAGATACTCCGCCTAAGCCACACCGACCATCGCCGGACCACGGCATACCACCCGCAGACCAACGGGCTGACGGAGCGGCTAAACAAGACCATCGCCGACATGATTTCGATGTACGTGGATGTGGAACACAAGACGTGGGATGAAGTGTTGCCCTACGTCACGTTTGCGTACAACGCGGCGATTCAAGAGACTACCGGCATTACACCCTTTCAGCTGGTGCACGGCAGAAAGGTGACGACAATGCTCGACGCCATGCTGCCCCACGACCCGACGGACGACGGCACTGACGACGCCCAGCTGGTCGCCCAACGAGCAGAAGAAGTACGCCAGCTAGCCCGTCTTCGAATAAAGGACCAGCAACGTGTGGACGCTGGCCGGTACAACATTCGCCGTCGCGACGTGGAGTTCCAGCCCGGAGACAGGGTATGTGTGTGGACGCCTATTCGCCGCTGCGGCCTCAGCGAGAAACTGTTAAAACGCTACTTCGGACCCTACAAGGTCATCCGCCGCCTTGGGGTCTTGAACTACGAGGTGCTCCCCGATGGAACTTGCCCATCAAGACGCCGCCAGCCACGATCCGAAGTCATCCACGTTCAGTTCTACGTCCAGTTCCACGCGCGTTAGGATTGTGACACTGCATGTTTGTTTTGTTTCGCCGTAATTGTTTTAGCCATTTCCGTTTTCCTTTCGTTTTGCATCGAGGCGATGCACTTTTAAAAGGGCGATAATGCCGCCCGCAGAGCCGAGAAGGCAACGCTTGGTCACGGTCTTCTAGAAGATTCCCGGTAATTCTCGCAGCAGACGTAACTTTCCCTCTGCTTTGTTATTCTCGAAAGTGCCAGTTCATCCTCGCCCCGAGCGCGCGAAGCTCGAACCTTCTTTGCCGAACTTTCGAGATAGTGACGCACGGTAGATAAGCAGCTGCCCGCGACCTGGTCGAGTCAGTCTCAGTCTCGCTCGCGCTCTCTGATTCGCCGCCGAATCGCCGCCTGCTTTTCTGCTGCTTCGACGCTCTTTCGTTACTTATTTTTGGTTGGCACAAGTTCGCCCATTAAACCTTTCTTTTCAGTTCACTGTTCGCCTTCTCGTCGCCTTAATTCGTGGTGATATATATATATATATATATATATATATATATATATATATATATATATATATATATATATATATATATATATATATATATATATATATATATATATATATATATATATATATATATATATATATATTTACCATATAGGAATCAGGTTTCGTATTTTATACAAACATCCAACTGCCCGAGAAAGCTCGGCAGTCAATTTATTTACATGTGCATTCCAGCTAAGCTCCTGGTTAAACCAAACGCCTAAAGTTTTTGTTCGGGGCTCTAAATTTGTGTTTTCGAAATATAGAGTTATTGGAGTATTATCATGTTTGTCTATTGGAGCAAAAATTATATACTTGGTTTTCTTAGAATTTAGTTGCAGTTTATTTTTGTGGAGTCAAACTGCTAGTTCCAAAGCATCCCATTGACTGGGATGCTTTGGAGGCAGAGGCGAAAAATGCGTTGGTATCATCTGCGTATATAATCAGTTCTGGAGATTTAGGAATAGCAGTAATGTCATTTATCTAAAGGAGGAACAACAAGGGGCCTAGGATAGAACGTTGGGGGGCACCGTATTTTACTTCCAACGTGGTTGAGACAGGGTGGTTAATTTTGACGACTTGAAGGCGATTTGTTAGATAATGTTTTACTAAAGCCAAAGCTAGTCCTCGTATTCCATACAGTTGAAGTTCATTTAGAAAAATATGGTGTTGAATCGTGTCAAAACCTTTTTTAAAGTCTAAAAAAACTCCCAGAATGTATAATTTATTTTCCACGTTGTATATTAATTTGTCTTTCGTCTCAACAAGTGCCTGCTCTGATGATTTGCCCTTTTGGATACTGAGATTTGTTTATGACATCATGCTTTATAAGAAACTGATATAATCGATTTTGAGTAACTCCCTCAAATATTTTCGAAAATATTGGCAAGACTGATATAGGTCTACAATTTTGTAGATATGGTTTTCCTCCTTTAAAGACAGGGGTAACTTTTGCAATTTTTAGGGAGTCTGGGAATATACCCGATTCTAGGGTACAATTTATGATATAGGATAAGATGTTACTTATAATTTGAGAATCATATTTAATGGGAGCGCGTTTTATTCCATTGACGCCAGGGCTATATTATTTTTTATCTTATTTATAAGACCTACTTCTTGTGGGGTGGTTGGCGATAACATGATCAAATTGGCTATGAAATGCGTGGTCATTATGCCGCCGTGTAAGGGCTCATTTTCGGATTCTAAAGGTACACCAACATTTACGAAATACTCGCTCATCGAATTACATAGTTCTATACCGCTCACATGATTCCCATCAATAATCACGTGATTTATATCCCGGGAATGACTATGGTTATTTGTTATGGTGTTTACGGCTTCCCATATCCTTTTGGGGTCACTCTGATCGAGATAAAACAGGTGTTTGTAGTATTCTTGTTTGGCATTTTTTTAAAATCAGGTTAGTTTGTTTCTATATTTCTTGAATGCAGCAAGAAAATCTTGGTCTCTACACTTAGGAAAGTCGTGGTACATTTTATTTTTTACGCGTATGTATAAATCGGGAGTCATCCAAGGTTTGCGGAAATTATTTCTCCGTTTATTAATTTGTCGCAGTGGGAAAGCTCTGTCGTAACAATGCTGAAAATTTTCTAAGAAACTGACGTACGCAAGATTCGGGTTCTCTTCTAAATATTCACTGTTCCAGTCAGTGACAGAAATGTAGTCGCGAAACCTTCTCAACGAGTCTTCATCTATTTTACTGTAACTGAAAGTTTTATTGGAAGTGGCACCTATCTTTCTATGAAGAGTCGAGAGACAAAAAATAGGAAAGTGGTCGCTCAGATCATGTTTAAACACACCTGATGAGACCTCATTAGTGTTTAGATTTGCTATACAAACATCGATAGAGCTACACCGTTCCGAAGTCACTCTGGTAGGCAGTGTCACCGTATTTATACACCCACAAGCAGCCAAGACATTTTTTTTTCAATAGAGTCACTTTCATTTCCCAGTAGATCTATATTTACGTCGCCCATAACAAAAAATGGTTTAGCAGTCGAACCGAGGAAATGAAGAAGGTTCTTCAAAAAACGAGAGAAAAACAGACTTACTTCCCGCGGGGGGCCTATACACAACACAAATAAGGGCGCTTCCAGCATGAACGACAAAACACTCTACGTCTGTAGAGTGTCTTGAAAGAATCATCAAGCAAGAAAGATTTACATCAGCTTGAACACGAGTAGAATGCATTGTTCTTCTGAACAAATAAGATAGTGCCTATTTGCTCGGAGGAAGAAGGAGACCAACACCTTCTCGAAGCAGGGCTTGTACGGCTTTCTCAACTCGCGGTGCAATTTTCAGCGTTCGTGCGTACGACGACTGTCACGCTCGCTTTCCAATGCCGAGCTATCACGACTCGCTCTAGACGATGCTCCCGGCGCGGTGTTGAAAGCGCCCGCTACACGCCGGCTTCCTACTGGTCAGGGAAGTGTTGGGCGCCATATCTCGCCTGTTCTGTATCGATTCAATGGACGCCGCCATGAAATTATGGGGCAAACAACTGCGTTGCCACGGCAGTGTCATGACAACGCGGATGTTTGCCTTATATTTTCACGGCAGCGTCCGTTAACTGAGTTTCCTAACCGTAATCCAAATTACCCGAGACTGTGGGTAAAGATGGGGAACTTTGTAATAGAAAAAAAGACGCTGGAAATGAATTGTCTCAATACCCGAGACAATAAGAAGGCATTTCGTGGCCACGCCTACTTCCGTTACACTTCGTTCTGTGTATGGGGAATACGGACGCCACCTCCTGCCCCTTTTAACCTTCTTGTTTGAAACCGAAGACAGAAAGGCAACCTCGGTATATTTTTTTTAACAATGATGACTCTATCTAGATTATCTATTTCTCAAACTTAAAAATATTGTTGACTACAATTTGATTACGGCATGGAGAGACAATCTTACAACAGACATTTCACACGTCAATCATCTCTCCAACCAATGAAAGCCAAGAATAGGTGCTTAAATTTGTAAGCACGGGGCAGAGCCTAAAGCAGGGCTGCCCCCACTAACTTGCGTCTAACAACGTAAATATACCACAAAAAGTTTTAGCGAAAACAATTACAAAAACCTATTAAACCTATAAAAAATACATTTCTTCACTTCAGTGTTTCTTTAAGCTGTCGATGACCATAGGTGAACTCCACTGCACCGGCATCTCAAGAGCCAGCTCACCTGTGCGACCAGACATGCCTGTCTCTGCTCCTGGAGAGAAGACCAGTGGCCCGCTGCAAAGGACCCGGTGGGTTCGTACCAGTCGTAGTTCGGGTACAGGCTGTTGTTCTTGTCTTCCATGATCTTGTACCGCTCGCCTCGGATGGCCGACTGGTCCGAGATTGGATCGATGTTGTAGAGCACTTCTTTGCGAGGGGAAGGAGCTCCGCGTGTCAGCGACTCCCATTGGTCGACGCCGTCAATCATGGTGAGGTCTTTGGCTTGGCCGCCTGCATCAAGTGTTTATATATTTCCAGGTTGCCTGTTGTTTTTAGGTTCTGTGTATCGCTAGAGGGCCTAGGTTTTCGAGGAGGACTTTGATTCAATTCGTAGAAAATATTTCTCGCTTATTCAATTCGTAGAAAGAATGTTCTCAAGTTTTAACAGCTGCATTATGAATAGACGCAGTTCAAAAGCACCCGTTTTACAAAGGAGGTTTGGCGTAAACATTAACAACGGTGCAGGAATTAAGTTCAATGAAAGCATTGCAGGAGATGACATTGAATACGTGTTATTCCTTCAAGTGCGTAAGATTGCATATCTTTCGAAAAGCGACCGACTCCAAAATACAAAATCAGATATGACTTGACTGATTCAATTGAAGATTAAGACACTTCTTGGTAAGTCGCTTCGCAAAACATAATGTTCAGTAAGGAAAGCATGCGCGGTAAGCATAGATTGACTCTATGTCACTATATGACAGCCGAACATCACTTATGAATGATCAGCTTGGGATTGGGCATGGATAAAGATATGCATCCGAGTATGACTACACATTGGCTGACGCCTCTGCATCTACACTGCGCGACACTGTTAGTGAGAATACAATTTCCCAGCCCTTTTTCGCATTTTACTTCGGTAAGGTACAGGCGATCATCGATATTTACGACTTACGTTCACACCCCAACTGAATACCTTCCATCTCTGTTGTAATTTGGATTACAGTACTTCAATACTGACAGAAAAACAAAAAGAAAACAGCGATGGCTTGTTCGGGCGAGCGGTGTCGCGGAGTGTACTTCTAAACTAACGTCTAATACCGTGTTTGTGCACATGGACAAAAACAGCGGATTTTCGGAACATTGATTCGTCTGGAATTCCAATCCCCCTTTTAATAACTTACGGAAAACTTTTTTAAGGCGAAAGCCTTACTTGTCCCATTACGTGAAAATCCGTCGGCGTTGTCTCCGAAAGATGGTCATAAAACTACGCCATCAAACACGCGCCTCAGAAATAAAACACAAAGAAAATCACAGCAGCGCAGATGCTTTGTCACGGAAGCCGTCGTGAGGCCGGCGGGGTTTGGCCGCGCCTGCGCAGTGTGCGTGTGTGTGTGTGTGGGGGAGGGGGGGCGTAATGTCACCGCCGGAGCGCCGTGTGCGAAAGGAAGACGTGGCGCGCTGCTTGTAAGAATGCGTTTAGTGAAGGAATGCTTTTGAATTCCTACACATAACCAATCTTAAGTGCCTTTGGCGAGTTTCCTTTTTCTTGTTTGAGACACCTACCAGCTGCCGTGTAGAAAGTGGGCATCCAGTCGGTGACGTGAAACAGTTGCTGCGTCACTCTTCCTCTTGTAGTAAGCGACGAGGACCACAAGAACCCCGGTCCGCGGACCCCTCCTTCTGCCACTGTGCCCTTGGTGCCCCTGAGGGGCCAGTTGGGCGAAGTGTTGGCGGAGAAGCCGACAGGCGCGCCGCCGTTGTCGGTCGAAAAGGCGATCACGGTGTTGTTGAGCTGACCCGAGACGTACAGTGCTTCCACGATGAGCCCCACTGACTTGTCGAGCTCAGCCAGGCTGCCTGGATGCACACAAAGGATGTGTTCTTGGGGAATTTCCCCGGTCCTCTAAGGCGCTGCGCGGCGTGACATTTATCGGCCATCTCTTTTCAGTTACGTGAAAGCAGACTGCTAGGCATATGGGATATTGGGCGTATTTCATTTTCTTCCCTTCTTCTGTCTCTCCAGCAGAGGAGATAGGAATGGATTTCCTATAGGCAAATATTGTTTAGATTGAAGTTCAGGTTACTGGTTGAAGAGTGAATGGCTGAGCTCACCCGCAAAGAGTTGCCTGTCGTAATCAGCCAGGTATCCGAACTTGGAGATGTATTCCTTGGGAGCTTGCAGACTTCCGTTGCTGCCTCCACAGTGGACCGCAGTTGGGGCGAAGTACAGGAAGAAAGGCTGCGAAATTAGGTTCGGTAATTAAAGGGCACTAGCGTCGTTTTCAAAGTTGATAGTACTGCATCAAGAAAAAAAAAAAACTGTTTTTAAAGGGCAAAGTATAAAGTTTGGAAGACCATAAATTGGTTTCTAATTATTCTAAATCACTAAGAAAAACACGTTGGTTACATTAACGCATCTTTATCAAATAGCGGTTATCCAGTTTTTCCTTTGGTCTCTGCTATTATACAATCCCATCACATTACAAAAATGGCATATGCATAATCGACAACAACAAATGTGACATCGCTCGCCAATCAAAACGAGCAAAAAATTTTATTGGTAAGCCGTGTTATTCGGTGTAATAACTGACAGAAGTTGGTATGGAACTCGGCCAGTAACGTCTTTTGCTATACGTTTTCGTTTTCATACTGCCTACTGACGAACGTTATTACGGTAGTAAGCTTGCAGCTCTGATAATTTGGTGCAGCTTCCATCCTGCAACTATGAAAACCATTCGCTGAAAAATGTGTGCCCATACGGTTTTGAATAGTACAACCATTGTTGAATTAGAGTTACTAATAAGGATCAGCCCCCCCCCCCCCCCCCCCCCCCCATATTATTTACCCCCAAAATAAAAGGCCTCGTCTGCTCATTTTTGCATATTTCCACTGTGCACCCGACGTGTGCATACGGAGTCCTGCTGTATCTGAGCTCTGGTTCAGATACAGTCACATCATGAGAAGGGTGCTATCCCGGTCATAAACGCGAACCGTTCGAGTTCCAGTTATACTCCTACCCCTGGAAACCGCGCGCTCCCATTGGCCAGGGTGCGAGTGACAATTCGGCGCTGTTGCCATGGGAACGTTCGCGAAACACCCATTTTCCCAGCAGTCGCTTTTCAAATGTGACGACACAATAACGTAGGACCACTATGATCTACGCGGCACATAGTGGAAGTCGCGTAGCTAGATTAACTGCGGCATTACTCGACACATCCTATGGGTGTTTTCACCCACATAATTTTGTCCACCATTTTGTTGTCACGAGCTGTCTGGCGCGTGCTGGAGGCGAGTATTCTGAAGATCCTCATAATACCCTCAATTCGGTAGTACACATAAGCTTATAAGTTTAAAAAAGGAGCTGTGCAACGATATTCAATTGGAATGTTTTTCTCTCTACACGAGCTTACTGGCACACCTGGGACTCAAGGATTCTCACACGCAACGCCATTGGCCAAGAAACTCCTTTGTTGCGGTGAAATTTCAAGGACAAAAGCGATCATTTTCATTCAATCTCTCCTTTGCAAAATTTGATGACGTAACTCGGGGATCGCAGTACACCCAAGTGACGATATTTGAATGCGGTTCGTAGATTGGACCCGAGCATTGCGTGGGCAATCGACTTGGGCTCGTGACAATTGCTAGCTCGAGAAGCATTCGGGTTGTGACCCGTGTCCAATCGCTGCAACGACGACAACAGCCGAGCCATAACAATGTCTGGAACTCAGCGCGTGTCCTGCGCTTTGCCAACCCCAGCGCGTGGCTATGATCAACACTGGCGGCATATAATCGGCTCCAGATCACGTGGCCGCTTGTTCTGGCTGCGAGTTGAGGGGGTGAACGCTGCTCGTTTTTCTTTAATTTTTTTCTGGGACTTCTATTGCGTGGGGTGAAAAACGAACGCGTGTTTCATAGGTCATTAACGTTAGGGATCCGTTTTAAGCGGTATTTGCACAAAGTACAAAAATTGTTGCGTAGCTCCTTTAATCGCGCCTATCATTTTTTTTAGTCTACTCATAAATAAAACATTTCTTTATAACTCTCTCACACTATACTCCGTTTCACCTTATGTTGTACCGCTTCGAAGGCTAGAAGCGCGAGCTCAGAGCGTTGGCAGCTGCCCTTGGTGCACGAGAGCTTGTGCCGCCAAGATATGCCCCAGAGCAAGGAGTTCACGCTTGTAGCCTTTCCTGCGGTACACCAGCCGCAGAAAGAAGGCTTGATATGCTCTCTTGGCCAACCAGAAGCCAAAAAGAATCCCCTAGCCGTGGTAGCGAGAAACATCTTTAAGCGTTTTAATAAGCGCGGAAGAGTTAAATGTAGTAGCCCTTCATGGTCGAAAATAGGGTGCACGTGATGTTTCGATCATGATCATGACGAAAGATGTAAGAAACTAATGTGCCGCTCGAACTCTCTCTTGCCCGAACAGAGTTTGACCGCTCGGACGGCAGATTCCCGGCCCTCGTCGCCAGGTGTATGGATCATGTCGATCACTCCGCTAGTCGCGCTCTTCCACCATGATTTTGGATGACCGTATTGAAACATCACGTGCAACATATTTTCAGTCACCGAGAGTTACTCCGACGCACTTATTAATTTCGTTTCTCGCGACCGCCACCCGGGTTTTATTTCCGGCTCCTGGTTAGCCACATTCGAATTTGTGAAGACGCCCTGCAACATGTCCAGTCCGCTTTCAGCCAATGGCGCCTACTCAATTGTCTTCTATACTTCCCAAGGAATGGCCACACTCTCTACATAGACGGCTCTGCTCTGGGCTTTCAACGTCCACGTCGAGCAGGCGCGTTTGCTCAGTGGAAGCATCGTTCGAGGCGATGTACTCGTGCTTGTAGCTTCTGTTCTAATCGCAAGAAAGTGAAAATAAAAAGCAAGATTTTGATACCTAAAAGAATGGCAGCAATGCTTGTTGTGCAACGACTACTCGACCAACGCGAACAACGACGGTTTTAACGCGAGCACGCGTGTGCCTTCGCGATGCACGATAACTGTTTCCGACGGCAATACTTATTGTCGAACAGCACAGCTCTAAGGCTGTGTGGCTAGCGGTTCCACGAGAGATGGCGACCATGATGACCGTTGAGCAGCATGGATCGCGCTGAGATTTTTCGCAAAGGTGAGCAACCAGGGCATGGTCACTACCAGTGAGCACATCGCAACTGCCCAGTCGACGGTAAGCAGAGCCGTGACGGCCGTCGCGAGCGTCATTGCCAACCAGATGGGAAGAGACGGCTGGGTCGACTTTCCCCAGACCCAGGCAGCCACAGTTGCTGCGAAAGAAGGCTTCCGTCGCCACCACGGCAAGCTCACCGACTTCGTTAGGTGCGTTGAATGAACCGAGAGTAAAACTGAACCTTCGTCATCATCATCGGCCTGAAGGAGACCATCACTGTTGTGAAGGCCCTCTACAGTTTGCCGCAAATACCATGTTTTCATGGTGGTAAGTTGTTAAAATTTCAGTATTTTTACCGCTTCGTGGTTTGTCCACACTTAATACCTATGCCTACAGCTGGCCATTTTTTACGCTTTATGGATACTGTAATTCACGCCATAAAATCTGAATGGGTTGTTGACGGCATTTTATTTTATCAATTAGATATTTGACCTTTTCAGGCCAAGCTTATGTGGTTGCATGCCAGTCATCGGGCACTGAAAGATTGTTCGAAGCTTTGCAATGAACTGCACGGGCAGGTGGATCCTAAAATCAGTCGGTAGTTGTTTAGACAGGAGGAGTTTAGTCTGCCACATTATAGCGACGTTGCTACCCACCGTAGACGAAAAATTGAGCCAGTGCAGTACAACTTCTAGCCTGGGGCCTTTAACGTGCATCACGCAGTGACGATACAGCACTGCACGCCCGTGCGATGCTCATCCAGATGTAAACGGGCAGGAGTGGGGATAAACCCAAGATCCCTGTTGGGTCCCATGATACCTGCAAACTATTGTAACTGAACTGACAACGTTGTCGCCGTGAATGAAGGTTATCAGTCAATACTGGTGGTGGTTGTTATCTCCGTGACCAAGCAAAACACTAAAATGCATCATGGTCTTACTTTGAACACGTGTATGTTTAATGTGAACTTTATGACACTAATTAATCGGGTCATCATTCCAAAAGTGACAACAACTTTTTGAAATAAAGAGTAGTGTGAACTGGCTTTTTGAAATTTGTCTGTGATGCTGAGCAAACACGCTGTGTTGACTTACTACAATCAAGCTTAAACGACAAGCGTCAGCAGAGTAGGAAAAGTAAATGTCTACATACAATTTAGTTATTGTTATGCCACACATCCATTAACGGTTTAGTAGAGCGAGGCAGCCAACATAGTTTTCACGGTTTCCATCATGTTTGTTTTGGAGGACCGTAGTAAATACTTTAACAAAACAAGTTCAGCTTGGTATTTGAGCAAAATTTAATTTAGGTCATAATTTTTGAAATAACAATTTGTATAGAATTATGTGCTTTTTTCCCGATCATCTTCGAATATCTGGAAGTAAACCTCGAATCTATTATTTGCTCGCTTCAACGCCCCAAGGAAAGAATAAAGAGAGCAGAAAAATCAGAGGGAAATGCGGGGATTGCTGTGCTCCAACTGAATGCGTCGCCGCGTCATCGTGCACGTAGGGGTATCTCCAGATTCGAGTTGGCGCCGAGTGCATGAACCCAAACGTTGGGGTGGAGCCTCACACACCAACCTTTCGAGTTTCGGGCTCCGCGCCCAAACGTTCGAGTTACGTCACAACTCGAAAGATTCGTGTTCGCTACCAGTATAGAACCACGGGAACAGCTGCGGCGAGGCATTCTCTCGACATCTCCTTTCATAACAATTCTACTCCGTTATAAATAAACGTATAAAAGCTTCATTCTTCCCTGCCATTTTCGCAGATCATGTCATAAACCGCGCGAAACAGTGAACGGAAAGGACAAACCTGGCGCTTCGCATTTTTGCTCGAACAGGATATTGAGATAAAATAGTAAGGGTGCAGGCGAGCTGGTGGATGTTAACCATGTTGAATATACCTGAGACTGGGGTAGAAAAGAGCGCAAGTTCGTCTGCTTCTTGCACTAGGGTTGCAGTGACATCAGAACGACACCGACCTCTCATTGGCTGATTGAAAGGAAATAGTAGGTATATACCTCGAGACATCTAGCATCAAGGTCTATCCGCAATACTTCCAATCAAAGCCAATCAGAGCTCGGTGCCGTTCTGACGTCACGGCAAC